TTTTGTACTTAAAATATTCTAAAAGAAACATAACAATATTGTTTTATGTACTTTCACTTTTCACGTATAGTATAACTACTCTTTAAGATTAAGTACTGTGTATCTCAAAAACCAGAGCTAATAAAAATTTTTCATTGTTATTTTCGTTTTTATCACCCCAAAATTAGTAGAAATTGACTTATTTAGTGTAGGAAACATTCAAAAAATCTTTTTTTGTTGTGTTGTGTAATGATAAAGCAAGGATGGCCATCCATTATCTCAGGCTTTTGCACCACCACCAATGCACAACAAATGGTGCAAAACCGTACCGGAGCCCAGATGCACTTGGGAGGAAAAACTCATTTCTTCCTCCAATGCCAGGTCTATGGCTAGTCATTGGTGGGAACGAGAGGCATCGCGAAAACACTTAAGTACCGCGAGAAACCATCTCGCTTATTTCAACAGCATCTGCTTGTTGTGGATAATCTGCCGCCCGCTGATCAGGTGGAATCTTTCTGGAAGCACATTTATAAACACCCGCAGCCACTCAACTCAGGCATTCTAGCCTCAGTGTGGAACAACACTGAGGCTGGAATGCCTGAATGAATACAAGAATATAAATAATATAACCTGAATTCTCAAATTATGAAGTCACGTGGAAGGAATATATTCTCACTACATGTTTACCTTCAACTTTCTCCAAACACTGTTTCATTTCGTACTTCAGCTCCATCAGTTCGCTTTTCAAAATTTGATTTTCCAGCCTCAGTTCGTCAGTTATTCTTTTGACATCGCCCTGTGGATGATTCTTCTCAGCCGCTGCTGCGCAGCAGTATGTCGGTTGGCTCGCCATGTTCTGGAAGGTCTTGAAAACACTGTCGTAGTTTTTTTCGCGTTCCAGCAATTCTTGCATGTGGCATTTGATGCACTTCTCCGTGGTGGTCGTGTCTGGTGGGGGTTTTTTCTTAGCTGTGCAGCAACAGCAGTCTATCGTGGTGCTTTTGGTGTCGCCAACACCTAGAAAAGACGGAATAAAGAAACATCCCATGGCATTTTTATCAATATCTACACTTCAAAGTTCAAAGTGTCACCTATCACACCTTTTAAGCACAAATCATTGTCCAACAAGTTGCTGCCGAATGAACAATTCTACCTCTGCCGGAACAGTAACAGCAATGGAATAAGCAAATCGATCTGCTGAAGAATTTGCAACCACAAATAATGATTTTGCTTCTCGATGGCTTATTAGATGTATACTGAAGCAGCTCAATATTAACAAAGCTTCTGGACCTGATGGAGTACCTATTCTCGTACTCAGAATCCCTCGGGTTCTGCTCATACCAAAAGAGGCAAGAAAAATCTTCCAAATAATTATAGACCAGATCCTTTACTACCTACAGTTGTTAGTCGACGCATTGTTGATTATTTGGAGCGCTTCAACATCTTGAGTGTCCATCAATATAGTTTCCGGAAGCAAAGATCAATGATAACCTTCATATACTGTCACCCACTTACCTAACCTAACATATCCTTCATACATATATCACCCGTATTCAAAACAAGATAATGGAAATACACAAGAAGTTCTATTTTTTACTGAAAATCTGGAATAGGTCAGAGGTAAAATGTGATGTTACAAAAACTCAGGCATAAGTTTTTTCTAAGAAACTACACAATACTTGTTAAGGCACACGTAGGTAGATGTGTAGAAGCTAGGAAAACCAAAACACTGTGTCTGTTGTCTCATCGCCTCTGATAATGTTTACCGCAGTCGTAGACGAAACGCCGCACATGAAAATCTACAGACCACGACGAGCAAACCCGGAAATAGCTTTGACATAAACAAGTAGATCCTAAGTTATACAAGAACTAAAACTTTGCCAACTCACCTTTGAAAATCGAGCTGTTGATGACTGGAGATCCGATAAAAGCACACTGGTTATCCATGTCTCTTATGTTCGATCTGGATCTAACCCTTTTCGCAGATGGACACGTGCCTATGTTGCACATACTCTTCCTTTTCTCCGTCCTCTTTCCATAACTTTCAGTCTGGGTTAGAGGACTGGACATTGATAGAACAACAGGACAAGTGTCATCTCTGCAGGGGCCTCTCTTAGCTCCAACGAAATCTGGGCAGGTATCCTCCCTACATGGAAGCTGATTGAAACTACTACCAACAAAATCGGGACAAGTGTCTTCTCTACAAGGAAGTTCTCTGGAACTCCCACTGCTGAAATCTGGACAAGTGTCCAAGCAAGGTATTCGCCTGGACGATTCGTTACGAAAATCAGGACAAGTGTCTTCTCTACAAGGGGCAACTTCCACGTCTCCGACTGCGAATTCTGGGCAAGTGTTGGGAGTGCAAGACCTAGTCGAAATACTTGAGGTCTTCTCTGGGCAAGTGTTGAGGTTACAAGGCACAACATCACCAGCATTTTGGCTTCCCATCGTCAAAGGAGCAGCATCTTGTGAAGGAGTAGTATCTCTAGCTTTGGGCTTCTTGCTTGACAAAGGGTTAACCCAGCAATTGTCCAAATTAGCGTGTAACGGTTTTTCTCTCTCCTTCGCTTCGACTTCATTTTTCTTGTCTAAACACACTCGGCAGGTACTCCTCGTGATTCTGGTGGCTTTGCTGGAAGAGGTGACCACAGCTTCGATTTGCTTATCGGCAGGATGAAGAGATTGTCCACTGACAGCCCTACTGGAAGTAATTGCTTGGGCCTCTACTTGCTTGTCAGAAGGATTGTATCCTAGCTGGCTGCCCTTTTCCAAACATATACAACAAGAACTCTTACTTACCTTGGTAGATTTTGTAGAAATCGAAGCTTGAGCTGCACTTTGCTTATCGGTAAGCTTTGGTTTTTTCAGCTCTATGCACACTTGGCAAGCGCTAGTTTTTCTTGGAGGTCTGGTATCGAAGGGGAGCATTGCTTCGATCTGTTGATGCACTTGAGACTTAACATCGCAGCAAATTTGACAAGGACTGGCGATCGCCTTGATATCTCTGTTAGAAGTATCCATCATCGCTTCAATTATTTTGTCCTCTTTGGGGGCAGTTTTGATTCGGCTCGTGTTGCAAGAGGCTGGCTGTTTAGGTACGTTGTAGGTGCTGGTAGTGTGGGAGAAAACAACCCTGCTGGCCTGTTTGCTGCTGGTCCGGGTGTTGCTAGACAAACAACAGGAACAAATGTTACTTTCTTTGGCGTAGGAATTTAGTGACATTTTGGGAAATGTCAGTGCGACAGGTGGCGTCTTAATTTTCATAACCCCTCATACAGGGGGATGAATGATAAATTTCATTCGGGTTCATAAAAGGCACACCAAAATGTCTGCTCCACATAGAAAAACTCTTGTATGATTGATTCATCAAAAAAATGTATTCAGTTTCTTTTAGCTATCAGAATGTCTTATTTGAAGTTTTGTTGGTACATCCATCAAGGTAAAACGTAAATTCATCATTGGGCTACAATATTTGTGAAATATTTGCTCCTGATTAATAAATAGCTGTCATCATTTCGTAATATTCACTTCTTCTGTCGAAAAGTTACGCAGAATTTTCATTTTTGATTTTATCAACACCTCCCTGGAACTGTTACTTTCCTCCATGTTCATGGTTTCAGTATTTACAAAGTGTTGCTTCTCCAGAGCAGATTGGATGCCTACACTGGATGCTATTCTGAAAGATGACGAAGCGAATCTCTATCATGCTGGCCATAAGTGTGTTTCCTTCTGCAAAGTTTTGGTCAGCCATCTTGTTATCATTTGTATATACTTGTTTAATTCCTTCTCATGGATTGGCGTTGCATTGAACGATGGTTTTATTGAGTACATCTGCTTTGGGATGCGGTACTACTACCAATTCGTGTTGGTCTCTCTGATCTGGGAACTTTCGGGCATATTGGATCATCGCTACAAAACGGTTAAAGCTAATGTCCTAAACACATTATCGACGAGTTCAATCGTCTCTTCGGAATATCTCCGGCTGAGGATTCGACACATCAAATCAGAATATTTGGATTTGTACAGAGCTGTCATGTATGTCAGCGGTTTTTTTGGTACCACCATATGGCTGTTATTAGGTTGTGTAACTGCTACTTTGCTGAATAATTTTTCTTGGATACTGTATAATGAAAAAGCTAATGACTCAACGAAAGGTTGGATGTATTTTTTCGCCTCAACTCTTGTGAGCCCTCTATTCAATTTGGTGAGTAAAAATTATCGAGCTAACAGTTTTAGGCCCAACATCAAAAAAGGCTGCTATTGATTAGCAGCCTGAACACGTGTTAATGGTTATTGTAAGAACACGACCGGGGAAGTTATTGTTTGCGAGCAAAAGGTCACGTGATATCGCTTCTCGAATCGGAGGCCACACAATTTTTTACTCCAGCCCACTCACTTCAGTTTTTTATTCATTCCTGTGTAGTTTTTCATATTCCCTCTGATTAATTGTTTTATTTACAGTCCTTGAGCGATCTAATAACGTCAATAGTTATATAAACACTTACGTGACGAAGACACTTTATCATCAGCGAAGTGATATATAGACAAAAAAGTCAATAATACCACTTACGATTATAAGAGGTAATATTGACTTTGATAAATGAGAAATAGCTGTCCATTGCGACGATTGAACCAACCCCTTTACTAAATACCTACGCTAAATGATTAGTACCACTATAAACGAAGATGGGAGACTCTCGGTCATTCGAAACATATTTGAAAATCTCCAGAATTATCGGACTTTGCCCATGGAAGAGAATCACCAACAAAATTTTTGACGTTCTATCAAGAGTTAATCTTCTCGTGTGTAGCACAGTGTTCATTTTCACCAGTATATTAACGATTGTTAATAAAGTCCATGTGATAAAAGAGAGTAAACACGAGTATAAATTTCCTCTGGTCGTTGTGGACATCTTGGAAGGAGTATGCGGCTTTATTTTTATGGCTTCACTGCTTACGAAGTGTCTCTTCTTCAGTACTGATTGGAACTCTCTCCTAGCAAGTATTCAGAATCCCAGCTCGGTTGATTTCGCGACTAGAAAAAAAAAGTATGCTGCCTTCTTCAAGGTCATAGTTAGTCATGCCGTGACGTCCTGCATATTTATTTTTGAGACGTATTCCTGGTTCGGAGTTGCAGACCATGAAAAAAGTGTGATCGAGATACTATCGGCATATGTTTCTCTTGGCGTACGATTCTATTACCAGTTTGTTTTGGTCTGTCTGATTTGGGAACTATCCGCCATACTTGAACTCTGCTACAACCTGATCAAAGTGAATATTTTGAACATCTTTTCAAGGGATTCAGGGAGAGTCGTGTTTCCGAAACATCTGAAGCAAAGGATCAGAGTCATCAAATCGGATTACGCGGATCTGTATAAAGCTGTTTCGCATGCCAGTGGTTTCTTTGGTATCACCATTTTGATGTTTTTAGCCTGTACGGTAGCTGCTCTCTTAAACAGCTGCTGTTGGGGATTGTATTATGGATACGCTGCAAAGGTTGAAAGCGACTGGATTGGCCCTCTTTTAACTTCTGTACTCGTGAGTCCTTTACATAATCTGGTGAGTAGTTAGTAATTGGAAATTCAAAATAGACGTCATGAAGTCTCTTTTCCGCCTCGTGATTCTACATCTGCTCAGTCATATATTAATAACGATCTTCAAAGCCATCTTTGACATTTCTACAGCCCATAAGCTCAAGCTCAATTATAATTATTATAATGAACTCATAAACTACACTTTTCGAGTCCACATCGAAAATGAAATACTTCCCTCTGTGACCGAGGTAGATATTGTGGTTTGATATCCACCACACGGAACAATTCAGTTTCAGCCCAAACACAAATCGTCCATCTTCACCCGCTGCTTCTCGTACCCTGTGAATTTCCAACCTAAACAATTAAAAACTTCATAAAGAGACTGAATACATACTCAACTGTCTAGTCTTTTGTCCGTCCTCGACTTACGCAATACAAAATAATTTTCATGGGAGACTAAATGTATTTTTCAATTTCTGTTTTATCAGTTCTTGGGCATATGAAACAAATGCTGTTATTTTACTGCGTTTCATGTTCGAAATTTAATAAATTACTCGAAATGAAAAATCTAGATTTGACAATTCCTACTTCATTTAATTGTTTTTTTTTTTTCGTTATAATTGAACCAAAATCGAACGTAACTTCAAAGTTTTTAGAAAAATGTATTTGACAACTTGAAAGAGGGGAGTTCTTTATTTGTTGTAATACTCTAGATTTTCGGGTTGAAAACTGAAAAAGTGACAAAATCAAATCACACCTTTTTTTCATTCTGTTGAAACACGAAACGTGAAAACCATGTTTTTATCAAATAAAGATTTAAAAAATAAGAGACTGTAATTTTCACATTTTATTATAACAAAACTTTGTGTTCTTAACAACTATGAAAAATAAAATGAATTGAGTTTGGTAGCAATAAAAAAAACTAACTTTCTTGGCCGGATGTCCCTATAATTAAGGCCAATAATCAAGAAGATGACTTGGCCACAGTTTCGGGAGCCGTCAGCCACGATTCCAAATTCTTCCCCTGAATGATCGTCTCAAGCTGTAAAATCCGTCTGTACAGCAAAAATAAATAAATGAAAAAAATTCTATTGGATAAAAATGCTTAAAAACAATACTGATATCAAATCACAACATTTATCACAGAGTGAAAGACATTTCACTATCAGAATCACTGCCCTCATTCTCGTCTTGTTCTCTCTTCAAAAATATGTTCAACTTGTCCAAGTCATATAAATCGTCGAAATCCCCATCTTCTGACTTCGACTGCGAGTATCCTGACAGAACCGACTCCAGTTTGGCCAAATCAGCAACATCGTCCGTACTGCTGGGAAATGACATATTTGAACCGCACTCCGACAACATATCAATGCTGTTTTCGTCACCTCTTTCAGTCTCAAACTGTTTATCGTCAGTGAAAACGGGAGCAGTCGGCAAAGAATTAGAACCGTTTTCGAAACTCTGCCTCTGACTAGATTCACTTACGACTGGGTTTTCTTCTTTTGTGTCATCACAAAATTCACTGGAGGTTATTGTTGAAGTGGAAGTTGAGTCCTGTCTCTGACTAGATTTGGTTGCAAATGGAATGTCTTCTGTTGTGTTGCTATTGCTTGATGTTATTGTCGAAGTAGAAGTTGTTTGAGGCAGCGTTTTTATATTGTTTTTAGGTTGCTGAGATTGGTTCTTTGGCACTATTATGTTGAGTTTCAGCTGGAAAATATAAAAAAAAGTTTGAAAGCCAACCTCGTACAGTCGAAAACGAATCATTTCCCACCGGAAGTAAATCCCACTCACCTCTTTTATCACAGTCTTCGTTCCCTTGCCAGACCGAACCTTATCGAAGTAGAACAACTTTTTGCTGCTGTCCTGCAAAAGATTCGCGATGACGCTCTTGTCAGTCACCGGCTTGAGTTTCAGGGACGGCTTAGCCTTGGCGGGTGTCGTTTTCTGAGGCGCTTCAGGAGGAGGCATGAGCTCGACCAATCTCGGCCTCTTCACGTCGTTCGTTTCCGTCCGATTCGCCCTGCTGTAGGTTCGTTTGAGCGGAGGAACGGTTAATTCCTCTATATTTTCCGTGATATCCCTTAGTTCAGGTGAAGGACCTGGCAAGAAATGATTAATTCATTGCTAGAAATCTAACCTACCTGTTTAGACAAACTCTAACATCGAACTCACCTTCGAGCGTCAACAGAGAGGGCCACTTGAACAGCGAGTAGAACCTCTGGTAGAACAAAGACCTGTCCACCTTGACCAGCGCCTGTTGCTCCGGCGTCATCTCGGCCAGATTCTGGACCATCTTGAACTTGGACCGGCTGACGGATGAGCGAGTGAAGGGATCCAACTTGACGAAGATCTCTTTCGGCGAGTTCCTGAAGTGGAGGTTCTTTATGAGCAGGCTGCGCAACCCGATGGTCGAAAACAGATTGGGAGGGACTAGACCCGTCAGGTGTCCACCCCTACTTCCACTCCGCCTGAGTCTGAGCGCCGTTAGGATCTCCAGATCGAAGCAGTCCAAGCGGCTGGACTGCGGCAACTTTTCAGGAATGTCCAGCTTGACGTTCAGAGTGTCCAGCAACACTTCAATGTCTTCGACGGCATTTTTCACAGCTGTGGGGAAGAACTTATTGTCGACGCCCGGCTTGAACGAGTTGCTGAAGAAATTCGTCAGCATGACGTCGACGTCCTTGATGTCTTCTTCTTCTTCTTGCTCGAACTCGTCTGAAAAATCGCTGTTAGGTGGGCTGTCGAGTGGTTTCGTGTAGCCGTTGCGTCTCATGGACTTCAAGTGCTTCTCGAGGTCTTTTATTGTTGGTATGAAAGAGCTGTCTTTGAATTGATCAGCGATTTGCCTGGGGAATAACGAGCGTTTATTTATTTTTTCGACAATCTTTGGATTCGCCCAGAATAATTCAACATTAACCAACCTATCAAATTTACGTAACTGAAGCCTCAGTTACCAGTTGATTTGATATCAGGCTAAAGTATTCTTTCTCAAAGTGGGCGATAACGCCCCCTTTTGTGCGCTGGAGGCCTATAGGGGGGCAGTAAAGGGCACAGAGAAGATTAGGGGGCGTTGAAGCAGTTTTGGGGGGCGTTGAAGAAGTTTAGGGGGGGCGATGTTTTTTTTGCTTTCAACATAAACTTTACCGCTCCTTTGCGCTTAACACGCGTTTCCTCGTGTAACGCCATCTAGGGGACTAGACAGTAACTATTTCCTGTCCGATAGTTGTCAAACTGTACAATAGATGGCGGTAAGCTTCAATGCGAAGCGAGAAGTTTCTAGTATCCATTCTCGAGAGTACTAGGCCTGCCCGCTGCCTCATATAAAAGGTGACGACTTGACCTTGATTGAAACAAAAAATGTCATTGCTGCTTTTGTAGCCAAATTGCTCTTATACAAGAATAATATCGGCGGACGTGAGTTTCGCAATTTCTCTAATTTGTCAACAGTATCCTTCAACAAACGACGACTTGCTTGTTTACTGCCAACATTTGGAGAACCTCTACAGTGATTTCGCAGAATGATTCCAGAATTTTGGCTACAAAATCCAATCCAGCAATTATACCCTGCATTATGGTCCATCGTTCAACGATTTTGGATAGCATTTCCATCATCGTATTTGTGTGAACGTGGATTTAGTGCTGTGGCAACTAAAAAGAGAAATTGATTGCAGATTACCTTAATAAATTGAATATGAATAATATTTGAAAATTTTCTCGACGTTTCTTAAGGGTGCTTAAATTAAAATCTTCCATTTGTTTTACATAGGATATCATAAAAGGGTATATTCCATATTTTTTTAGATACATTGACCTGAGATATCGTTTTTGTACCTTTTCCAGCATATCAGAATGAATAATTAAGATGTAGTAGAGTAAAAAAAAAGGGGGCGCTAGAAAATAATTAATTCTCGAAGTGCTCGGTAGATAAAATAAGTTTGAGAACCTCTGCTTTAAACCATTTATTTATTTTCTTTTTTTTTGTGAGTCAAGGCACTGACAACATATGTTTTATATAATCGTTTATATAATCTTTCACAGAAATTGTATTTGTAATAAGTTGGTGTTCTTATTGTCTTCTAAACATGTTTGTAATAAGTCATCTGATAGTATGTAATATCTTTCTGCTTCCCAGAGGTATTTACATTATGTCAAAAAGAGTTTTACTGTCGGTATAGCAAAAAAAAATTGGTCAAATTTTTATGGCCAATTATGGTCTGTGTCATTTATTCGTTTATCCATTTTTTAAATCAATGTGTAGAACGACAAACGAAAACTGAAAAATAACTATATGAATCAATGAAATTTATACTAGCGATATTGCTGTATTATGTTCTAGACTTTTAGACCATTTGAACTTAAAAATTTTGGTTATTTAATGTTTGCAAGTCTTGGTATTCAGTTCACCAAGCATGAAAGGTACAATTAGTGTGATAGATGTCTGCGTGAAAAGGTATTTTTCTAGATAATTATACCTGAATAAGTTATGTTTAGAATCGAAACAGATTGATTATTTATCTGAGAACTTCAGCATCTTCGTTGTTAGAAATTGTTTCAAATCTCTTCTGATCATCTGCAAACAATAACAAAGAAGTATTGTTGAAGATGGACTCAGTGCCAAGTTACTTACAGTGAATATATTGAAAAGAAAGGGCCCAAAGTGGTATCCTTGAGGCATTCCAGATGTAATCATGACTGTTTGGGAAATTGAACTACTGATTTTGACACTTTAAGTAAGGCGTGACAATCAATTCTTAAACTAATCCAAAGCATCGAGCAGGAAGTGATTAACTGTATTGAATGCTTTAGCCCAGAGGTTCTCTTATTTTGTCTACCGTCCAATTCGAGAATTAACAGTTGGCTGAGCCGAGTGTTTCTTTTCCAGTTCTCAACACATAAGTCACAATTTTGNTTGAGAAAGACTAGTTTTAAGAAACATGACGGGATCCATTGCCGATCCCTGAGGTACCCAGAAGAATATATCGAAACAAGAAACATGTCCCCAACTTCACCAAAATCGCTTGTAAGTGATGAGGCATATGTCCTCCTTTATGAACAGGAGGGAATGAAGCAGCACCACCTTTGAGGTGATTTTCTGTCTCTTCTTTCTTTTTCTTTTTATAAACTCAGTTCTCTGAATTGATTTGCATTTCATGACTGTTCCAAATCTCAATTATAATATTTTTAGAAACTTCCAACATCCTCACCTCAGAATCATGAAGTCCTGATGCTCGGCGCTCCAATTATGCTTCCGCCTCTTCACGTCCTCGATGCCAGCCTCGGGATGCTGCTCGAGAAACGTTTTGATTACGCTGTAGCGCTGCCTCAGCTGGCCTCTAGACCTCGGTATTTTCTTGGCGAGCTCTGTCCAGCTCGACGAACCGTGCTCTGCCACGTGATCCAAGATCATCCGGTCTTCATCCGTGCTCCAAGTGCCTTTTTTGACGAAGTTCTTCACGTTGGAATTGTACCTCGCCTTGATTTGGCTGGGGGAGCGGTTCGATATGTAGTCGGTGCACTTTTTGTAGTTGGTGCCGAATTTGTCGACGCATATCATTATCAGTATGTCTTCCGCTTCGGAGAATTTGCCTGGAAAACAGATTTTGAAAAACAAAGACATGAAAAAATAATTTAAATATCTCATACAGTGTGACCAATCAATCAATACAACTGATGAATTATATTTTGTCCAATTTTGATGAATAATTCTCAGGTGGATTATATCTGCACACACTTTTCTAAGGCTTTTGATGGAGTGGATGATTTAACTCATACAAGTTGCATTCACTAGGATTCATTAAAAATTATTAAATTGGTTCATCAGCTGTTTGAAAGACAGAACTGAATGTGCCAAAGAAATATACCATTTGAAAAATTCAGGCTTCATTATAGACATATATTTGAAATGGAATTGAAGTTAAATCAAATTCATTTATCATCGAAATCCATACAAATGTTTTAAAGACATACATCATATAAACTTATTGGACTAGTCGTAACAGAACCTACAAGCTGCAAAAATATAGAAAAAATAAGTATGTATTGAAAGAACTATTATCAGGTCGCGAGTAAAAGAACAATTATTTAGAATAATAATAATAATAATAACTTTATTCGTCATTTCGATCATTTACATGATATAAGACATGTCATAAATAAAAATATGAAAATTATATAAAACAATAATAACGGTCCACAGTATAACATAGATCGGACACTTGAAACAGGTACTTAACTATATACATA